TATCAACTTCGCGGGAGAGAGCATTTTGACAGAAAAAAAAAAATTGAGAGAGAACAGGAAGTGCCCAATTTGGTCTTGATTATTGTGTTCCACCGTAATAGTCCCGGTGCATTGATTTATGCATGTTTCCCCACTGACGCCAACACCTTCACCAAACAGCAGCCAGAAAGCGCTCGCTACACTTTGCCCAACACAAGTTCACTTGCTGCAGTATGCCGTGACATGTCCCCATGCCCCTCGGAAAGACACTTTTCCGACGTGGTAATGTGACTTGAGCACCACACTACACAACTTATAATATATATATATAACCAACATCGATGTGGCTCAATCCCGGCGCACGTCGGTGTCGACCTGCCCACCAGAAGTTACTGCGTGTTGATGCGTTGTGGGCAAAAGGCTGGACACGTCAGCTGATGTCCGTCAAGCGTCGGTTTGCCTGCTTCGAAATCCACACGGGGCAAGGGCGGGCGCCTGTCGCTATTTTCTCGCGTGGCTTTTCATCTGGATCCATACCAACTGGGTCGTGCACTGAAGCTGCCGCAAGCATACCTTGTTGAGAAAAGAAACAACTTGAGCCGCGACATTCAGGGAATCCTCCTGACGAACGTGTTGTGGCAACATCAACAAGGCAGTCGTCACTCTCCTGCACTAGGGTCTTCGCGAGGGTACAGGCCCATTAATCGAAAATCGGGGTCATTTGGGGGGGGGACAGAAACCCATGTATCGCCCGTTTTTCCGCCGAGGCGTCGGCGCTTCAGGGTCTTTTGGGGGTGGGGGGATACCGGGTGATCGTGCTCCAACGTAGTGAAGGCCAGGTACGGGTGGTCGGAACGCGGACCTTGAACGGGCCATCGGACGTACACCTGGCATTTGCAGCAACAAAACACCCAACAAAATGATCATCGAAATGTTATTAAAATGATACATTCAAGATCCTCGATCGAACACTCCAATGGCAGAAGTCCTACACGAACGGCCGTCTCTACCACGACGTACCACATCGGCTATCCTACTTTTCACGGACCAACAGCCCGCGCGCACACCACGAACCAATAACCCACGCGCACGTTACACTTCTCTCACCTTCATATTGCAGTTTGTTCTCTGGCTGCTGGACTTCCGTTTCTTGGCGCCGTTCGCTGATGATGCACATGCGACGTGGTACGCGCAGCGCAAAACACAACAAGCGATAGGGACAGAACACGATTACGCCTTCGACAGGTCGTTGCCGGTTTCGAGCAGCGTCGGCACAACTCATCCCTATGTCTGCCCAAACAATAACATTGTCCTTAATCCTTCGCGACCGTCGTTTCCGACCAGCTCAAACTACCACAAAATGCCCACACACATGTGCGCACGGACAAGGTATAGGTTTTGAGGACCTCACCTGCATCTCCCTGCCTGTACTCCTTCTGACGATTCGGCATGGCGTGCTTGCACGCTAGTCCAACCGCCACCAGACGACCGCCAGCCTCTTTCTTGCTTTTCTTGGAGTCGCAGCGTCGCATCACTGCTCCAAACTCCTGGCATGCTTCCACCACTGCGGCCGCCACGTCGTCGACGCTCCCCTCGAGAGGAATGATGGCAAGCCTTGCGGACAGTGCTTCGGCACTGTACGCCGGACTGCCAGCCTGAAACCACATCACGCAACATACGCCCGACCGACAGCAGGATCGAAGGCATTGTTTCCAACATCAGACAAATGCACCGACAGCAGGATCGAAGGCAGTTTCCAACATCAGAGAAATGCACCAGTGCCGTGTCATATGGGTGCAGATGCGGCGGGAGGGCCATACACTACACAGCAGCAGTAGTAGCAGCAGCAGCAGCACCTGGCCGTTCAGTCTATATACATTGGCGTTTGATTTGGTCGCAAGCTTTGAAGGCAACACACAGCAGTTATCAGCAGCACAGCAGCACAACGAGTACAGCAGCAGCAGCAACGAGTACCGGTACACAGCAGTACAGCAGTAGCAGCAGCAGCAGAAGCACTTGACCGTGCAGGCAAAATGCATCGGCGTTGTTTGGCGAACAGAAGCGCGACCATCGAAGGCCCAGCGAAGGCCCAGACAACTCCAGCTTTGATTAACATCTGCTGTCACGTCCTCACCGTTGGTGTACGCCCGCTAGCCTCAGGAGGAGCTGGGCCAGCTGCGCCTCCCTCCGCCCTCTGTGGTGTATCGGACGTCTCTCCTTGTTCTGCTGCTTCACGAAGAGGTCTTATGCCATCGCCACCAGAAACGGTTTTGCTCTGAGCGTTAGTGATAGGGTCTAGCGTACCATCCATAGCCCCTCGTGCTTCGTCACCGGCCCCTTGTGCTTCGTCCTCTTGGGGTGCCAAGGAGGTGCCGCCAGCCGGAAGGCTATTGGTTCCTCCGAACACCGCCGGCACGGCGGCGGGAGGGTCGCTTCCTATACACACGTCCATGTCACTGCCGGCGTCATCGTCGTCTCCGCAATCTTGTAGGAGATCCATCAGGGACATGTCTGCTGTGTGGTCTGCTTTTGCGCGTGCTGTGTGGCCTGGTGCGGNTGTTTGCAAGTGCGGCGTGCAAATAGGGGTAGCCGTGGGGGGATGGGGCCATACACTCACTCATCATCAACGTATCCCCGGGTTTTCCGCCGAGGCCTATGGTGCTTTTTTGTCGTCCCGCTCTCGCACGGTGTGCATCGCCACTGGCGCTGCTGGCGCTGTGGAGCTGTGGAGATCCCCGAGAGATGACAAGACACCCCGCACACAACAGTGTAATCTTCGCAACCTTCGTATGCGTACCCCAGGAGGAACAGCCGCTATTACTTAAACCCGCCAGTCGCCCGTGTGGCCGATTGGTCCAGTCAAACGTAACCGGACAACCAGAAGATCAAAAGGCTGCCAGCAGATTTAAGAAACTACGTTCCCTGTTGTGCAGTGCTAGGGGAGGCGGCAAGGGCAAGTTTGCAAGGCAGGTGGTTCAATGTGAACGCTGGTCAATGACCTATTCCAATTGAATTGGACTGATTTCGAGCTGTGATAGATACTACTACTGCTGTGACGGACTAAAGTCACAGGAGTACTAGCCTGTACATGGTAGATATTACGTAGGCGCTACGCGAACTAGGCTGCTTGTTTCAGTGTGTTCCTGTAGTAGCACGGCTGGCCTAGTTGAGGATGGGCCGACATCGATGACGAGGAGATAGATGCAGAACGGGTAACAACGTGAGTGAAGGGTTTGCCATCCATCTTCCCCCTCCGGCGGGGGGGGGGCGGCCTATGTGTCCGGAATTTTTTTCCGCGTGTACCCTTGGTCTTAGTGTCTCCAATCACGCCGCAACATCTTGGATGGCGGCTTCGTACCAGCAGTCAATGTTTCTCTCTCTCTCGCTTCACCGACAAAACCTTTCGACATCGGCGTCCAAACCACCATCATTTGCGTAGAATTGTCATCTAGGTCGCCGTTCACTCTCATTCGTCTCTCGAAGACAATCGCGGCCAGGCAAAAAACTCTCCAGCATTCTCCACTCGGTGATATGCATAGTCTACATACAACAACCCCGATCATCATCAACTGCGATGCTTATGGTGCACGTTTATCCAAAACACCCTCACATCACGTCGAACACTTCGCTCCGCGCCCCCTCCCGCTTCCAACAAGTACGTATTTCGAGACACGGGATGTGCGACACTAAGGCAGGCTGTAGGCCTATCTGATTAATTGTGTTTCGCAAGCAACGGTATATTAGCCCTCGATACTAAATACAAAACGAGGTCAACAACAACGCGGCACTCCATTCAGGGGGAGAACAGCAGTTAAACCACAAAAATACATCAGAGAAAGCGCAGTCGGAATTGGTGCCGGCTGGGTGAAAGATGGGGGAGAAAACAAAATCGGCTGACAGCAACCTATCTCACCAAGACACGGAAATTGCTGCACGAGACCATCTGTACTTTCGTACTATTTTAGTCTATCTACCCATGAAAGTCCTCAAAACTTATTCATTGAGGTCTGCTGCCCTCCGCCTAAAAATTACGCCCTTTCTTCCTCTCTACATGCCTTCCGCGCTTCGCTCGTCAACGCGCGACAAACGCGCGTACATGGAAATCGCTGCGTCTAGCGCGGGTGCACCTACAGCAAGAGTCTTGTAGGGTTTTTACTTAACACGGGTGCCTCACATGAAATGCGCGTGCGCCGCGATTGCACACCCATCCCCTCCCCCCCCTCACAACATCCCACCAAACGGATTCGGCACTCAACACCACCGTCGGTAGAGTAGGCTTCTCGACCAAGAAATGTCGGACATGTCTCAAGAACTGTGATTCAAATATGTATGGCATTCAATGGCATCGCGCGCGTGACGCGATGTCGCAAGGCAAAATCAAACTCGCGTCGACGGCGAGCAAAACTTGGGAAAATTCTGCGCCAATTTCAATCAAACGCAAACAGTCTCGCACCCCCGTCACATGCGATTTCGGTTGGTGAGCGGGTTTTCGCGCGGTTGCGCGCTGTGACTTGATGAACACAGCCACGCACATCCATACACAAACAACGTTGGTGCACTCAGCGCTACAGCAGGTCCCCCTACGACGCTCTTGCTCCAACTGCATGCAAAGATAAAAAAGTAGACCACAATTTCGGCCCAAACCGCCAAAGGGTTTCGCGCCCCGTTACAGGATCGGAAAATGGGACTCCATTTTATTCCAGCCGTACTTCTCGAAGATTTCCGCCGACACCTTCCGCTTCCGGCTGGCGCCGGCCTTGCCCCCCGTCCTCTGCTGTTGCTGCCGCTGCAGCAGCCTGGCTGCCTGCCTCGCCTCCTGGGATTGCTCCTGGAAAGGACCGGTACAACACCAAAATAAGAAACGACTCGAGTGTTGCCACGTTCAGTTACGTGGAAGCAAACATCGGAAGTTAAGTAAGCTTCAGTGTACAGCGCCGAAGCAACGTCCGGGAGCGCTGTTCAGCCGGGTACAAGTACATCATGGGGGAGGAAAACGAACGGCCTGATTCGAAGCAGGAGGTTTGACTGATAGTGGGGAAAAAAAGACGCATACTATGCCTTCAACCAGGGAAAACATGAGGGTGTTGCAACCATTTCGGATCTTTCAATTTGAAAGGAACATAAGCCCAAACCTGCGGGGGGCGTGTGTGTGCACTTGACCCACTGCGTTGCCTCCTTTTTTCCTGGCGAACACGCGTATTGCGCAGCCGCTGCTTGTATGGGTATCGGACACCAGATGCAACTTTTTACAATATCCATTGAGATTATCGGAGGGGAGCACAAAGCAGTGAGGGAGTGGCAGCGAACACGACCCTACTATACGCCCCCCCCCCCCAACCCCCCCCGGTCCCCCCCCCGGTGTTTACCATCGGGGTTGGGATTTCGTCGCTTGGCAACGACGTTGTGAAACAAGCCACCCCCCCCGGTGTTTGCCATCGGGATTGGGTCATCGTCGCTTGGCAACGACCTCGTACAACAAGCCAATTCACTTCGTGAGCTCGGTAACCAGGTTGCCGGGGGTTTTTTACCTCTGTTTTTTTTTGGCGGTAACCATAATGGTCGTCGAGTAGATCATGTGCAGGGTGGAGAACCCTCACTCCGCGCAAGGGGGATGATCGCACCACGTTGTGTTAAAATGGTCATCCACCCTCGAGGCAGTTACACGGTGCTTATAGCTGTTTCAGGAAGCGAGAGCACCAGAAAATAAATTAAGCCATACACAGCTGTCACCCGTACGCAAGGAAGTAAGCATAAGTTGCCGAACACCTCTAGCAGGATGCGGCGCACCCTTCATGCGACTTGCCGAATACCTCACGGCGCTTCGCGCTTGGCGATGTGAGAGCCTGGTCCGGTGAGAACCCGGCGTGCTCCGTCCCGGCTTTGTAGGGATGCGAGGTCAATGGTCTAACGACTACGGCANCATCTCCCCATCCATACCCCCGTCCTCACGATCTTTCACCACCCATAAAAACCAACCTTGGGGTCCTCTCCCTTCCACACCTCGCTGAGGGTGGGCACGACTCGCATCAGCATCTGTTCCTTGAACGCTATAAGCTGCTCGAACCAGAATGTCAAGGTAACACGACGATGACGAGGAAGCGAGCACGCGCCAATCGTTCGGAACGTACGAGAGCGGAGAGTGGACAAAGAGAGCCGAGCAAGGAACAGGGGGAGAGCAAGACAGACAGACAGACAGACAGACAGACAGACGAACAGATAAGACAGGGGA